TGACCACATGAGCATTGGGGGTGGGGGTGGGGTGCTGCAGTGGTTGTAACTTTGAAAAACAGTTGTAAGTCACATTTTTCATTGCTATTGTAACTCCGAATGGTCACTAAATGAATGGTTGTAAGCTGAGGATGATCTATATGACCCTCACCTGATTATATGGATAGCCTCTTACCCCAAATAAATTAAGTATGTTTTTTTAATACAAGTATATAGTCCAGTGGTGGGTTACCAATTTTTTTACTAGCGGTTTGGGTGCACTCCCATCAACGCTTGTGTGCAACTCTTCTGCACATGTGCAGAAGTGTCCGGGTGGGTGGAGCCTCCCACCACTGCTACCGGTTCGCCCAATCCAGGCCGAATCGGGAGCAACCCACCTCTGATATAGTCCTACGTTTTGTATAAACGTCCTATATCTTCCATACTAGCATTTGCCATATTGCTACAGCAATTTTTTCCCCTTTCTCCTTTTCCTTGTTTCATTGCTTTCTGAAAATGTGTAAGACTTGAAGTAAATCAGCTGGAAGCCTTTTAAAGTGTTGAATCACAGGGATAGTTAATGTAACGGGGCTGAAATGGCCACCGGAACAAGCCAGCCCTTTGTTTGTGAATGCCGAGGAAGATTATCTTAAAGTGGCCTTGATGGATTTGAGGTGCGAGGAAGTACAAAATGCCTTCTTAAGCCATTAGTTAGCACCACGAGATCTGAACGGGGCCGTTGCCTGATGGGTTGAGCTACATATTGAGTGCAAATAAATCCCTAAAGGTTTTGGAAACTAACGTTTTGAGCAGAGGCTTGGCAGCAAGTGGTACACTTAAATCTTTCCTCGTCGTCATCAGCTGCAAGTTATTTGTGCTTCTCCCTTCACGAATGTCAGTTTCTTTATAAACATGGACAAAGCACTCAGACCTCTCCAGGGGTGGAGGTGAAGTGGGGGAAAGCACAGGTAAATATTGAACAGACCAACATGGAAAGGGTGAAGCCAACTCAAAACTATGTGGAGTGACCACTGGACACTAGGCAGAGAGAAAGATAGAGAACTCCTTCTATGTGAGGCTCAGAGCAGAACCTTCCTTCATGCATTATACCTTTGACTGCAATGCAATCCCTAGTTTCCTATATAGAACTGAACAGAATATAATTATTTATTGGCCAAGTGTGGTTGGACGCACAAGGAATATAGCAGAGTTACTGCTTACACTCAAAGCTGAATTAAACATGACTTCTCCCTTCTCTCCCATTCCTTCACTCAGATAGGAAGGGTGTCAAAGAGCAACTTCACCAGATTACCCTCAGAGGTGGGTTTCCACATAATTTTACCACCACACACCGAAACTGTGAGCGTGCGTGCCTTCTGCACATGCATGTGGCTGTCCGTACATGTGCTTGGCTCACATGTGCTGCTTGCACGCATACACGTGGGTTAGAAAACATAGCTAAGTAGGACGACATAGAGCTGGGGCAGGGGGTGGGCAGGTGGGCGGGTGGGCGGGCCCTCCCGCAAGTGACCACTACCGGTTCATCCGAATTGGCTGTTTAACACCACTTATTACCTTCTAATTCAGGGATCCTCAAACTTTTTAAACAGGGGGCCAATTCATGGTCCCTCAGGCTGTTGGGGGGGGACAGACTAAGTGCCTAAGAGGCTAAGTGTCATGTGACTGGATCGGCATGGCTAGATGGTCATGTGACTGGGTGGGTGTGGCCAATATAGTAGTCTATTAAATAATATACACAAATTAAACTTTAACTTGTTATGTTCCTGGGGGTGGAAAGCAGTTTAATGATGGGATGTGGCTACTTTGGGGCGACTGTGAGGGACTTCTGTGTGTTTGTGTGTGTGTCCATCTCTCTCTCTCTGTCTCTCTCTGTCTCTCTGGAAGCCGGAGTGGCCAAAAATGGGCCTGTTTTTGGCTTCCTCGGCCTCCAGAAGGTGGATGGGAGCCAGCGGGTAGGTGGTGTGGTGTGGGCGGGGCAGCCTGGTCCAGCGTGGCCAGATAAATGGCTTCGGTGGGCTGTATCCGGCCCCCGGGCCTTAGTTTGAGGACCCTTGTTCTAATTAATAGATGTTTTCTGATGGGCCACTTCTACTGTAACAACCATTTTGTAAATAGGCAACACGCCCCAACCCCTGGCAACCTGACTTGCACACAACTGTTACCTGCCTCTTGTCTAGACTATTTCTGATCAGGATGGGCTGCCAAGAGACACTGATTATTTAGTATTTAGCAGAAAAACATACTTGGTGCTAGAGATGCCACTTAAATTTCCTATGAAATTCCGGAAATGTGGGCAGTCCCTGAGGTGTACCTTTTGCTCCAGAAGATTAAAATCCTAGTTTCCAGTAGCATTTCTGTGGGAGAATATAATGTATAGAAGTCTTTTAAATGGCACCATTTCTGATATTTGATGAAGGAGTTTATAGTGAGTTTATAAGATCAGAACACCTTATGTGAGGGAGATTGGCAATTCTTAAATATGACAAAATAAGTAAATAACATTTCATAACACCACCTATTGTAGGGATTTATGTAATACAAAATAATTAACATTGAATATGTACTTAATACTATGGATTAGCTGTAATTTCCACAAAAGAGAGATGGATTTGTGGGATATCAATTTCCCAGTTCATGTTTCCCAGCCCATTTTAAACTTCAACCTACATTTATATCTCTGGTAGTCATAATTATATTGCAAAAGAGTGTTTAAATGCTCACCATAAAAAGCTTTAAAAAATTAGAATTCAGTTCATTTACTTCTGGGGATTCAGAACCCTTATTCAGTGAACTTATCTAACTTTAATTGAAAATTGCAAGCATGGCACTTCCTTGACATGAATATATTAACAAATTAGCATTAACACATGTGAATGATTTTTTAAAGTAAACTTATCGAAAGGGTAAATAAAATATGAGGAATGCTTTTCTTATCAAGGTTATAGACCAGTCTTCCCAATCTTGGCAATTTCCCCAAAGTTAATGCTGGGTGTGGAATTCTGGGAATTTAAATCCACCTGTCTTAAAGTTGCCAAGACTGAGAACCCCTGAATAGATCTTCATGTGTTTGCTTCAGAGTTATTACTAAATAATGTTTTTATACTGCTAAATATATCCATGCATCAATTTATGCAAATTATATCCACCCCATTGGAAGAAAAATATCAGAAATGAAAACTAGGAAAATATTTCTTTCTCCGGGCCACCTGAATCTCCAGGGTCATATTCCACAGAATAGGTCCAGCAACAGGTGATTTATAGTAGGTGGCTGGGGAATTGTGGGCATTGAAGTCCGTAAATCTTAAAGTTGCCAAATTTGAAAGCCCTGATCTAGACTATCCAAAACTCTAAATAACTAATCTGTGCCTAGATGAATACATGTAATTGAATTGAATTGAAAGTATAACTGAAAGGATTTGGCTCTTGGATAGTGAGAATTGCCTTATCAGTGGATGCTTTCCAGTTCCTGGGTTCTCATTTCCTCTCCTCATATAATGTTATTAGGATAGTCTAGAGCAGTGGTCTCCAACCTTGGCAACTTTAAGACCTGTGGACTTCAACTCCCAGAGTTCCTCAGCCAGCTTTGCCAAGGTTGGAGACCACTGCTCTAGAACTCCCACCCAATCTCAACAACATAGTTGCTTTCTGAAATTTAAGTTTGTCAGCTACACAGTGCTTATCTATTAGCTATAACTTGACTGTATGCATTTGCATAACCATTACATGGCAACCAATAGATATAAAGGCTAAAGCCTACTCCTCTAAAGTCTAACTCTTTATACTATTAATCAAAAAGTCTACCAATCCTCCCATAGCAACACAGAGAGAAAGAGTTCAAATTTACAATGGAGCTGAAAAAGATGAGTCAGCTCCAATAGCTAGAGCCGAGGTGGCGCAGTGGTTAAATGCAGCACTGCAGGCTACTTCAGCTGACTGCAGTTCTGCTGTT